GAAGGCTGGCAGTTCAAACCCACCAGCCACTCCTCAGAAGGAAGATGGGGCAATCTACTTCCATAGTGATACTGCCTCAGAAACTCAAGGAAGGGTCACTATGAGTCGGGGCCGACTTGACGGCACATAACAACAACAACAAAAAAAAACAAGCTCTGTTGATAATACTTTACCTCTTGCTGATACTGAATTTCTCAACCAATGTTGAGAAAGTGGGAGGTGTGCAGGCCAAGTATGCCTGCATCACATTGATGACATGCAAACCTGAGTTTGACTATTTGGGCCACATTATGATAGCTCCTTGTTTTTCTTTCTTTTTTTTTAAATTCATGTTTATTATCTTTACTTCCCCAAATAACCAGGCAGTTAGTATCATCTCAATTTGTAGAACCAAGGACAAACAGGCTACCAGAGTTAGATGGAGCTGTTCAGTCAAGGAAGGAATGAGCCCTAGTTTGAGCAACACCAAAGATGATGATCGCTACAATAGACCAAAGTGTGTTTACCAGTCTAGCAGCAACAGCATCACCTGAGAACTTGTAAGAAATGAATACTATCTGCTCTAATCACTGATCAGCTTCGTCATATATTTGAGGTTGGAGCCCAGCAGTCTGGGTTATAACAAGCCTTGCATGCATATATCTGATGCATGCTAAAAGCAGAGGAACACTGTACTGTATTCTTATCCATCTCTCACCTGTCCACTTTCAGAGACTCAATTCAGCATGTGGCAAGGGAGATAAATATGTGTGGATGATTCAGTGGGGTGAAAAAGGCTGGGGAACTGAAAAATGTTCTCTCTCTTCCCTTCTTTCAGCCCACATTTATTTTAACATTCTACATCAAAAATTAGGAGGAACGTTATCAGGGACATGGTATTGGAAGAAAAATTGAGGGGCCCTCAGAATCTCCACTTGCAGAGGTTCCTGGTCCTATTGAGTCAGTTTCATAACTGTGACTGATTTAATATGTCCATGGTTTCTCCTTTTAATCAAAATATGGAGTGTTTTAAAAGTTTCCATTAAAAAAGAATATCCCAACTGTTTCCAGGGAAATTATTTTTCATCTTAAGGGCTTTGAGATAATTGGTGTTCAGGAAATTAAGAGTAGTTGGGTGGCTAAGCTGGTTCAGTTTGCTGTCATCCATAAGATAGGGGTGCTGCTGACCTACTTCAGTCTCTCCTTTGCTGTATTTTAGGACACATTTATTAGATTGTCCATTTGACTAGAGGAAATCAAGAATTAAAAGACTACTCTTGTTTGATTTATCAGATACATTGATTACAAGTGTCTGAGAAAAGTCTAAAGTCAGAAGTAGATAAAAATTCTTCAGGCATATTCAGAGCTGATAGAAATTTATCCAATGGAGAGAAAGAAAGAAAGATATGAAAATCAATAAAGGGAGACAAGGGAAAAAATAAGGACCAAGGAAGGAAGCAGAAAAGCTGAAAGAGAAGGCAAGAATTGATGGGAGGAAGAGACAAAGAAGATAAAACAAGGAAAGAGGAAGAGGAGGGGGTGGAGAAATAGAGACGGTATCTGAAGGATAGGAAATGGAAAGGAAAGAGGGAAAGGGAATGAAAAGAAGGAAGAGGGGAAGAGAGAACCAGTAGGCAAAAAAAAAAAAAAAAGAAGAAAAAGAAGAAAGCAATACCTGCTGATTTCAGAGCCTGGGCAATTTATTTTGAAGTACCACTTGTACAAGACATGCAGAGATTCTGGCTCCAAAGGTTAATGATGGCAGTAATCATAATTCCAATTTGCCAGAAATGGGATGAAAGGCAGCCCGATCTCAAACAGAGAAACCCCACTGACAGGGCAGTGGAATAATGATAGACCAGTAGTTGAAAACAGTGATTCTGGGAGTTTGGATTAAGTTCTCCTTTATTTGAGAACCATTTTGTATCTGATGTGTGATCCAGTGTTAAAAAGAAAAAAAAAAAAAAAAAAAAAAAAAGCTTGCTTATTAGAGATCTCTGGATTAGAGCAAAGGAGTTTAAATGTTTGAATGAACACATTTACAGTTTTCTTCATAATTTGCTTTCTCTTAGCATTAACTTATGGCTAAATTTTGTTCTTCTGCACCTCCTCTTCCTCCCCATCTCTGCTGCCCAGTGGCTTTCTGCTACCAGTCGTCGGGAGAACTGTGTCAGCTTGAAAACCAGTGGTTGTCAAGTCAGCTTCCGACTCATGGTGATGCCATGGGTGTCAGACCAGAACTGTGCTCCACTGTATTTTTTGTGCCTGATCTCCAGGAGTAGATCCAGAAGTAGATCTCCAGGCCTTTCTTCCTAGCTGTCTTTGGGTCTACTCAAACCTTCAATGTTTTGGTTAGCAGCTGAGTGCATTAACATTTTGCACTACTCAGAAACTCTGCCTGCTTAAGTGATTGTTTTCTCTGAATCCAGCAGGCCCTTTGTAGAATGGGCATAAATGATAATGCTTTAACCTAGTTTTCAAATACTCTTTATGTGTATTTACTTACATGTATAATCTTGTTAGATTATACATAATTAATATACTTTTTAATGGGAATCTTATCCATGTGTGAGAAACTCCATTTACAACTCCATATATATCTTCTTCCTTCCCCAACAAGGTGTGGATATTAGCAGATGACTGTATTTCCCAGGAAGGACACTGCTCCACTTAGTGGAGGGAGAGTCTTTTAGGAAACCCAGGACCAGAAGGAGGCAAGAATAGCCAGACTTCATTTCACCTACTTTGGTCATGTTGTAAGAAGGGGCCATTCCCTGGAGAAGGGTATCATGATTTATAAAGTGGAGGGTCAGAGAAAAAGGGTAAGGCTCTTAACAAGATGGATTGGCACAGTAGCTACAACTATGGGCTCAGGTATAGCAAAGATCGTGGGGCTGGCACAGAATCAGGCAGTGTTTCATTCTGCTGTACATAGGGTCAATATTAGTTGGAGATGACGTGACAGTACCTAACAACAACAGGGCCAGAAGAGGTGTGAAGACTAGACACAGATTACAGAGAGATCTCATGGAGTCAGAGAGCTTGTGGAAGAGTGTTTGCTAGAGGATGATAGAAACTTATCAAACTATTTGGAAAAGTCATCTAGAGTTATACATTGAGCAAACTTTTGTGGTGGAAACCAAAGAAGAGGCCCAGTTTCCTGTCTGGTTTGCATGAGGTTGGACAGAGACACCATTAAAGGTGGTCAGATTTTAAGAGACTAGAAGTAGTAGAAATCTTGAAATACTATAGGTTCCTGAATATCAGAGTACATGGGGTCTTAGGGGATGAGCTTAGGGAGGGGTCAAAGCAATTTCATGGGGATCTCAAGGGCACCTATAATCACTATGGTTTATATATGTGTCCTTAAGGGCATAATAACTGTGGGGGCATCTGTGCCAATTAATACCATTTCATACTGAGATTATGATACTTTTTGTATATCATTAGTTGCTTTCTCTAGTGGTAAGAATGGATTGTTTTCAAATAGATTCATGACAGCAAGTCTTCTCTCCCTATTCAGTCTGTAAGCTCTTTAAGGACAGAAAGCATGTCATCCCAGACTTTTGAATGATAAAAGTAATGAAATATCAATGCAGGCTTTTGAATAAGTCTCAGCATCCAGCTCAACACTGAGCATTTACCCTGGATTCAGGTAAGAGTTTGTCCCTGAAAAACTCCCCCGGATTTACTCACTGACTCTCACCTCTACTCACTGGTAGTTATGGGCTATGATCGCGTTTGAAGATGCCTAACTCAGGAGACTACCACCTCTCTGTCAGTTTGTTGAACTGTGGTGGCGTGCATGTTGCTATGATGCTGGGATCTATGCCTCTCATATTCCAAATACTTCCAGGATCACCCATGGTGGATAAGGTTCTTCAGAGCTTCCAGACTAAGGAAGACTAGGAAGAAAGGTCTGGTGATTTGCTTCTGAAAATCAGCCATTGAAAACCACACAAAGCATGGCAGAATATTGTTCAACATGGTACTGAAAAATGAGCTGCCTAGATTTGAAAGCACTCAAAATACACAGTGGCTGCAACAATGGACTTGAGTTTATGATGACCATGGTGGTGGCATGGGACAAGGCAGCATTTCATTCTACTATATAAGGGTTTTCTGTGATCAGAGCCAACTCAGTGGCAACTAACGACAACAACTCAGGAGGGAAGAAGATGTGTGCACATGCGTTGAAGAGAACACATACAGGGGCAGCCTGCAGACTCCTATGGCTTAGACCCATCGGCAGTCAGTCTTTTGGAGACCATAAAACCTACCTACAGTGCCTTCCATTCAATGTCAAATACAGAGTTCCTTGATGGACCCCTATCCACACTCAAGGAATTTTCCCACAAACACCAGACTAAAGTTCAGAAATGAAGGGACAAGTGGAACTGATTGAAATATATTATAACACCTGAAAAAAAAAAATTTCCCAACTAAGTATTGAACTGAGTCAAAATTTTGGAGTATTCGTCCTTGTTTAATATATAACTGCAGTGTACCAACCGTCATGTACCAAAGTGAGTCAGAGCCCAAATGCATGTTAACTATGTTTGCTCCAGCTGTACAATGGACATCAGGCACACATATCATGAGGCTCTCATAGATGGTATATTTCCCCTCTTTATCTCCCACTTCTCAGTGCTTTTCTAAGGACCACGTGTAGGTAAAGTCAAAAAGAAAGTTCTTACATTCTTGAATCCTCTGTAAAGAATCTGGAGCTCTTTCTTGGTGAATTTGCTCTGAGCTTCCAGAAGCTCAAGAGCCTCAGGCCGATGCCTGACTGTGGCCATTTCGAGTTCATCTTCCACGCTGTCTGTGGAGGAAAACCAACAAAGTATCGTAAGTACAGTTGCTGTTTGCCAACACGTATACACACAACACAGGGATGTGAAATGAAATGTTTACAAGATCTCTTAGGAATCTCCACCAAGGAAGAACTCTCACACTGTCAATCATAGTCTTTACATTGCCCAGATTTTATTCTATTAAAATCAGGATAATTTTACACAAAAGTTTCCTTGCACATTCTAGTCATTACCATAGAGGTTATGATTCTAATATACTTATTATATAGTTTGAAAAGGATGAATGATCACCAACATCCTTAGAACCTGGCATTTCTGTGCATGAACCAAGCACAGGAATGATAGTTTAATAGTGAGTACAACTCTCTGTAAGGAGCTCCGGTGGTACTGTGGTTAGTGTAGTGGGCTGCTAACCAAAAGGTCGGTGGTTTGAGCCCAGAAGTTGCTCTGTGTGAGAAAGATGAGACAGTCTGCTTTCATAAAGATTACATCCTTAGAATCCCTATTGGGCAATTCTACTCTGTCCTATGGGATTGCTATGAGTTGGTCAATTGTTACTGACTTGATGGCAGTGGCTACAACCCTAAGTATCATGCAACTATGAGATAGGACTCTCTCAGAGGATTCCACTAAAACCAAGTGTTCTGCCTGGAGTCACAAGCAAGGGTAGTCAGATCAGGTACTGACCAAAACCCAGTACCATCAAGTTGATTTTAACTCATAGTGGACCTGTAGGACAGAGTGGAAGGGCCCCATACATTTCCCAAGGCTGTACATCTTTATGGAAATGGAATACCTCATCTTTCTTCAAGAGAGCGTCTCATGGGTTTGAACCACTAACTTTTGGTTTGCAGCCCAATGCTTTAACCACTGCACCACCATAGCTCCTTCAGGTACTAACAGGAGTTAACTAACAAGTATCCACGGATGCACACTGAATGGACTGGGATCTAGATAAACTTCTGGTAGGCTCTGCTTTGCACCCAAGGATGTCCATATCTATAAAAAAGGTATAAAATATTTATAAACTATTGTAGTTTGTAAATTATATTCACACCAAAATTTCTCAATGATGCTCTATGTGAAAATAATTTTGTGTTCATATATGTTTCAGAAGTGTAAACTATAGCTTACTTTTGGAGCAAAATATGATATAAAAAATTTTGAGGAGTTCTGAAACATAGATTTCTGTTTAACTTATTTAACTCAATCAATTCCACATGTATTTCTCCATAGAATTCTCCCTTGCCCCAAGGTAACATCTGTTCACATCTGTATATTGTCCCTAGAATCATGCAGAGACCAATTTGGGGATGAATTAGGATCTGGATCTCCAGCTTCTCTGCTGTGGGGCACGATGGAGGCCTAAGGAAATTGTCCTTGCTATAGACAAGGCAGGAGCTCTGGTAGTGCCTAAGGCACTTGACTGCTAACCAGAAGGCTGGTGGTTCAAATCCACTAGCCACTCCTCGGAAGGAAGTTGGGGCAATCTACTTCTATAGTGATACTGCCTTGGAAACACAAGGAGGGGTCTCTATGAGTCAGGTCTGACTCAACGGCACATAACAACAACAACAACAACAACAATAGACAAGGCTGTACCTCAGCTGAGGAACTCCACAGTAACAAAGCATCCACACCCAGTTATGCAGCCACAGTCTTCTTTGGATAATATTTCTTTCCCCTGGGCTGCAGATTCCCAACTCAGCATGCAGCTAAATAAGAACAGCTACTTCTTAACTTCTCTGGTCACAGGGCCACTACCCACTGTGAGCAAGTCAATTCTGACTCATAGTGATCCTAAGGACAGAGTAGAACTCTCATAGGGTTTCCAAGGCTGTTAATATTTACAAAAGCAGACTGCCTCACCTTTCTCCTATAGAGCAGTTGGTGGGAACTGTTGACCCATCTTTTGGTTACCAGTTTCCCACTTTTATTGTTAGGTGTCACTGAGTTGGTTCTGACTCACAGAGGCCCTATGTATAACAGAATGAAACACCACCTGGTCCTGCACAACACAATTGTTGATATGTTTGAGCTCATGATTGCAGCCACTGTGTCAATCCATCTCATTAAGGGTCTTCTTTTTTTTTTTTTTTGCTGACCTTCTAATTTAGCAAGCATGACCCTTACTTAATCTAATGTCCCATAGCTCATTTGGAAATGTAGTCATTTTAACAAAAACCCCCACCACTTCTGACACTGATATTGTTGCCTCCTGCTAATATCTGCATGTATTTACTGCACTGCCTCACTGAGGGCACTGAGGGATCAGAATGTTTATTTACCAGGGAAAGAAGGCAAGTGAACTCTTATCTTGGCATTTCCTGATCACTGTCCTCAAAGAGTTTACAAAACACTAGGAATGAAACAAATACTTGGAATTGTATATTTTGTCAAAATGAGAAACAGGACATAAAAGCACACATTTGTTTTGTAATTTTCATATTATATTATTTGGGAATTAAAAGAAAAAAAAAAACAAAACAAAACTCATTGCCGTGGAGTTGGATCTGACTCATAGCAACTCCTCCTTCGGTTTCTGAGGCAGTATTACTACAGAAGCATATCGCCCTATTTTCCTTCCGATGAGTGGCTCTTCCTTCCAAGCAGTGGCTCTTCCTTCCAAGGAGTGGCTCTTCCAAGGAGTGGTTCTTCCTTCTGAGGAGTGGCTGGTGGATTTGAACCACCAGCCTTCTGGTTAGCAGTCAAGTGCCTAAGGCACTAAGTTACCAGAGCGCCTCATTTGGGAGTAGTGATAGGTAAAGGAACTCTGGTGGCCTAGTGCCTAAGGCACTTGACTGCTAACCAGAAGGCTGGTGGTTCAAACCCACCAGCCACTCCTCGGAAGGAAAACTGGGCAATCTACTTCTGTAGAGATACTGCCTTGGAAACCCAAGGAGGGGTCGCTATGAGTTGGGACTGACTCAACAGCAATGACAGTGATATGGCACAGTTGCAGAATAGAAATGGATGGATAAAAATAATAGAAAGTGTTGTGAAAAGATAAAGAGACCAAGAATAAACCCTGCACTGACAAAGGAAAAACTGATGAGAAAGGTAGTGCGGTGTGTATTTAAAGAATGTGGGAAGGGCTAATGGTAGATCTGAATAGGCAGTCATGAAGCAGTAAGTTAGTTCACTTTAGGCTGAGCTTTACTGGGAAAATCAAAAAAGGTGAGATGAGGCCCCTTCAATTTTCTCCTTAAGTTACTCTGAATGAACGGATTAATTCTACTCAGTGGGTCCTAAAATAGACAGGATAAAGGAAGATAGTGCTCCATAAGACTGCTGTTGATTCAACGCATGGAACTCTGCCTACAGCAGACCCAAGGGAAGACCCGAAGCACTAAGAAGCAGAATGCTTCTGCTAAAAAGTCTTATGCAAGTTCTCCTGAATCACCTGCAGAACACTTCCTTCACTCTCATATGTCCCTCTTCCCCTTGTCCACCTGTTGACAATGCCCATATCTTCATGATGCAGCTCAAATATTATCATCTCCTTTCTGAAGCCTCTCAGGATTACCCCATTATGCAGAACCAGAAGCTCTCTGTGAGAATTGTTGCAGCCCACCTCTCCAGTAGCGTGTATTACTACAGGGTCTGATAATCTGTTTGTATTTGTCTTTTCCATTGTGACAAGAAAAATCTCTTACATATCTGTATATGCTCTGGATTTATACAGAGATTCATAACCAACAGTCAATAAAGAATTATTTGGTGAATCAATGAATGAATAAAGAAATGAACAAATCCATGTTGTGGCTACTTCTGGAAGACCATCTACTCAAGATCCCATTCCTCTGAAGCCCCTGGAACCTTATCTACCATCTGGAGAAATACTTTTTGCAGCCTTTCAGACCCAAGGGAGACCTTAAATGTCTTCTTTAAAATCATTGTTCTCTCAATCCATTTTTCGGAGCAACATGATGTAGGCAAAACTAGAGGAAATTATAATCAGATTTTCTGAACAGTCTTTCTATCACAGTATAACCTCCACTAGACCTAATGACCCATATACAGGAGAGAAACAAAGCAGCTCATTAACTTCCTGGCCTTTACCCAGACAGCACTCTGGACCACAGTACCAACAGGTTTTCTTCCTCCTGCTATAACAACTTTGCAGATGCTTAGTCTGGGACAAAAGATCCTAGTGCCTGAGGGGCTGTATAATTGGATTAAATATGGGTGATAGAATAATAATCACATGCAATATTTAAAGAGAACCACATATGAAGTGTTTGAATGTGGGCATGCTTGTTTTTCCAGCTGACCTTACTTCTTAATGACTCCTACCTCCCAGAGGGCTATTTGTATTGACAGGATTTTGACAGGCCCTACAAATATACCTGAAATTATCAGCAATCATCAGTATATGAAAAGTTGAAAAGAAATACCATCAAACCCAATCAAGACTGATTCCCGAAGGCTTACTCTATGAGGATCACAGCATGATCCCACACAAGACTACAGAATTCATGTTGTGACTCAACCACAGGTTAAGAGCATACATTTTTTGGGGATTTTAATATAGTATCTCACATTTATTAGGTTTATTCTATATACGAGGAGATAAATTAGGTGCTTTATAGACATACTTCTAAATCCTCACATTAACCTCATGAGGAAGTACTATAATCCATTTTGGATATAAGTAGAAGCTGATTCTCATGGAGTTAAAGATATTTGTGGCCAGATGTCACACAGGATGAAAGACTATGGCCACATTCATACCCAAATCTTTGATATCCAAGCTTATTTTTTTTTTCCACTTTGTTGTACTCTCTCTCAATAACAATAGAAGTAACAATGGAAAGGCCACAATAGTCTCTTTCTGTTCCTGTACCCTCAAACTTCTCAGAAGAATTAACTATATCCACTATAAACTCTCTCTAGCTTCTGCTTTCCCCTTAATCTACAATCATTTTGACTTTTAACAAAACATTGCTACTGATGTCTCCAATGAGCTTCATTCTATAATGCAATGATGTTTTTGTTAGGTGCCATT